GTAACTGGAAGCTTTTAAATATTGACTCCCTTCACCCATTTTGCCCAACCCCCGACTCCCATCTCTGGCCAACACCAATCTGTTTTCTGCATCCATGAGCTTGATTTTTTTCCCCCATAGGGTTTAAAGCTATTAATTTTCCTCTAAGTACCACTTGAGCTACATCATACAGATTTTTGATATTTTGTTTTTCCCCTTTCATTCAATTAAAAATATTTTCTAATTTCCTTATAGATTTCTTCTTCAACCCATTAGTTAATTAAAAGAGAACTGAACTTCCAAATATTTGGGGATATCCCAGATTTCTAGGTGTTGATTTCTAACTTAATTCTAGCATGTTTAGAGAACATACCTTGTATATTTTTAGTCCTTGTAGAGTTATGAGACATATTTTATATATACAGGATATATATTCTGTTGTCTTTGGTGGAATGTGAGATCAAGTTGGTTAATAGTGTTGTTTGAGTCTTTAGTATGCTTGCTGATTTTCTCTCTCTCTAGTTGTTCTATCAAGTATTGGGAGTAGGGTATTATTGAAGTCTCTTGCTCTAATTGTTGTGTCTGTTTCTCCTTCACTTCTGTCAAATTTTACTTCATGTACTTTAAGCCTTGTTAGATATGTATATATTTATAATTACTTTATTTTCCTAATTGACCTTTTTATCATTATGAAATATCTTTTTTTTCTAATAGGAGTCTCTATTTTGTCTGCTTTGAATTTTTATTTCTGTGCCCTTTCATGATCTTCTCTATACCTGCATGCTGCTTGAATACATGGAGAGCTTATCAGAGCACTATGACTATCTTTTTAAAAAAATTTGTCACAGAGGTACAGAGAGGGAGCACACAAGCAGGGGCAGCTGCGATCATTACCTGAGCCAAGTAGATGCTTAACTGTATGAACCACCCAGGTATCCCAGCACTATGCTATCTTATTTCCCAGATCTCCTTGATAAATTTCTGGATAGTTTGCCAGTTCATTTTTTTTTTTTTTTGCCTTAGCCACTACTAAATCCACAGACTATCTGAGCCACTATTTTGCCTTGTTTGTATGCCACTGAGTTTGCTACTGTTTTGATGATGGCATTGGGTATAGTCTGTCCAAGTTCCGCTCCACTCTGATGGTTAAGTTGCTAGTTATCATGGCTTGTCCCTTTGTAATAGAACAGGCTCTCCCTGTTCTTAAAACATGGTTCTACTGATTTTCATGAATAACTGCTTTGCTGTTTTAAGTACCTATGGTCAATTTCAGGGTCCTGAAATGGTTGCTTTGATCATTTTATCCAGTTTTATTGGTACTTTTGGGGAAAAGGACTTGTCAAGCTATTCATTCTACCATACTAGAAGTCCCACCTCATAATTTTCCTTTATGATTATGTTTTTGTCAGGTCTTTAGCATCAATATTATGCTGGCCTCATAATGTGAATTAAAAATGCTCCTATTGGGGCGCCTGGGTGGCTCAGTGGGTTAAGCCTCTGCTTTCAGCTCAGGTCATGATCCCAGGGTCCTGGGATCGAGCCCCGCATCAGGCTCTCTGCTCCGCAGGGAGCCTGCCTCCACCTCTCTCTCTCTGCCTGCCTCTCTGCCTACTTGTGATCTCTGTCTGTCAAATAAATAAATAAAATCTTTAAAAAAAAATGCTCCTATTTTTTGGAAAAAGTTTGTGTAACTGTTATTTCTTCCACAAAAAAAAATGCATGATAAAGTATTGAAATCACCTAGGCCTACAGCTTTCTCTAAGAGAGTTGTTTGATTCAGTTTATGTATTTTACAACTATTCAGATTAAAGAATTTGTCCATTTTATCTAAGTTGTAGAATTTATTGGCATAAAATTGATCCTACTATTAATATTCTTTTAGTGTCTGTAGGATTTGAGCTAATCTTTCATCTTTCATTCATGGTATTCGTAATTTGTGTTTCCTTGCTTTTTCTTGACCAGTATCACCAGAGGGTTTATCAATTATTAATCTTTTCAAAGGATCAACTCTTGGATTTATTCATTTTCTCTTTTATTTATCTGTTTTCTATTTCAGTGATTTTTGCTCTTCATTATTTCTTTCATTTTTCTTGGGTTTAATCTTTCCTAGCATCTTAAGGTAAAAACTTAAATTATTCATTCAAAGCTGTATTCTTTTCTAAAACAGGTGTTTAAAGTTTACAAACTTCCTTGTAAAAACTACAATAGCAGCATCCACATTTTGATATTTAGTGTTTTTGTTATCATGTAGTTCAAAATACCTTCTAATTTTCCTTATAATTTGATATTTGGAAGGGTGTTAATTTCCAAGTATTTGGGCTTTTTTCTAGGTATCTTACTGTTATTGATTTCTAATTCTATTGTGATTAGAGAATATACTGTGAGACTTGACATTTCACAGCCCACCATACAGTCTGTCCTTGTGAACACTACATGTGTGCTTCAGAGGAATATGTACTCTGTATTTGTTGGGTGTAGCATCAGATCTTTCATATTTTTACTGATTTTTTTTATTTAATTTCTTTTCAGTGTAACAGAATTCATTGTTTATGCACCACACCCAGTGCTCCATGCAATACGTGCCCTCCATAATACCCACCACCAGGCTCCCCCAACCTCCCCCCCCACCCCCTTCAAAACCCTCAGATTGTTTTACTGATTTTCTAATTGTTCTATTAATTACTAAAATCTTTAATAATAATTGTGAATGCACTGATCCCTCTCTTTATCAGTTTTCTTCATCCATATTGAAACTCTATTAGATGTGTACTTACTTAGAATTGTTATGTCTTCCTGGTAAACTGTGTTATAGAGTGAATTGTGTCCTCTTAGTTTGAATTCCTGTGTGAATATCTATATTGCAGCCTAACCCACAATGTGGCTGTATTTAGAAACAGAGCTTTTAAAGAGGAAATTAAAGTTAAATGAGGTCATAAGCTCTTAACTGTAGAGAACAAACTGATGGTTACTAGAGGGAAGGTGGGTAGGGGGTGGGTTAAATAGGTGATGGCGATTAAGAAGGGCACTTGCTGTGATGAGCGCAGGGTGTTGCATGTAAGTGTTAAATCACTAAATTCCACACCAGAAACTCATAGTACACTGTATGTTAACTGGAATTTAAATAAAAATTGGATTAAAAAAAAGTGAGGTCATAAGGGTGGGGCCCTAATCTAAAAGGACTGATGTTCTTGTAAGAAGGGGGAGATATCCGAGATCTCTCCACCTGTGCACAGGCCTAAAAGAAAGGCCATGTGAGGATACAGATTCTCGGAGGAGAGGCCTCACCACAAACCAATCTGGATGGAACTTGCTTTTGGACTTCTAGCCTCCCAGAACTGTGAGAAAGTAAGTGTCTGGTGTTTAAGCCACATAGTCTATGGTATCTTGTTATGGCAGCCTGAGCTAAGACAGATTGCCTCTTATCTCTAGGAAATATTCTTTCTTAGGACAAACTCCATGTTTTCAAGTTTACTTTGTCTTTTATCAATATGATCATGTCAGCCTACTGTGTTCATGATATATCTTTCTCTATCTTTTAAATTTCAACCTATTTGTGCCTATATATCTATAGCGCATTTCTTCTACATAGTATACATACAGTTGATTTTGGCTTTTTTATCCACTCTGACAATCTCTGCTTTTATTTGGAGTGTTTAATTCATTTACATTTGTTTTAATTGTTGACATGGTTGAGTTGAAATCTACCATCTTGCTATTTCTTTTCCATCTGTCCCTTCTGTTTTTTGGTCCTCTCTTATTCCTTTCCTTTTTTCTTTTTCCTTTCCTGACTTATTTGATTAACAAAGCAAATATCTGTTAGTAATGCATTTTATTTCCCCAACTGGCCTCTTAGCGTATTCTTACAATTTTAACACTTGCTCTAGAATTAATAATACACATTCATAACCTATCAAAATCTAGTTAAGAGTCAATGTTTTACTTCATACCTCCTTCTTCATACTTCCCACTTCTCTCGATACGTGACACGTCACAAGTGTAATAACCTTAATAGTATAACCCATTTATAGTCCCACATCCTTTCAGCTGTATTTGTCTCATCTTTTTTTTTTTTTAAAGATTTTATTTATTTATTTGACAGACAGAGATCACAAGGAGGCAGAGAGGCAGGCAGAGAGAGAGGGGGAAGCAGGCTCCCTGCTGAGCAGAGAGCCTGATGCGGGGCTCGATCCCAGGACCCTGAGATCATGCCCTGAGCTGAAGGCAGAGGCTTTAACCCACTGAGCCACCCAGGTGCCCCCTCATCTTTACTTCTACAAGTATAAATTCCATCTTGCATAAGTAAGAAATCACAAAAAAATAGAGTTTTATATTTACCCACTTATTTACAATTTCTAGTGCTCTTTATCTCCCCCTGCCCAGCATATTCCAGCGGCTTCATCTTCCATGAACTCTGTTCTCTGTTCCTTAGCACAGTGGAATCACCATGCCTTGTTTGGACTCTGGCTCACAAATCCATAGAAAATTACCCCCAGTTAGGAGCCAGGGTAAATAGGGGCTCACTTCCTTTCTCTCAGGGACTGTAGATATATGCTGTCTGTTATCCAATGCCTCAAGAGATACCCAACATGAGGTTTCAAAGTCAAAACAGAATAAGGAAAGCATTAACCTGGGAGGTCACCCTGGCATATGAAATTGGAACCTAAGCAGAGTAATGAGGGTGTCTGAGTAGGAAGATGCCCTATTGTATGGTAAGAAACAAAGAGGGGTGGAGAGAAGGTCTAAGCAGTTTTCCTGACCCTGAGCAGTGCAAGAGGGGTGTTCTAGTTACTATGGCATTATAAGAAATCACTCTAAAACTTAATGACTTAAAATGGCAACGATCATGTATTATCTCCCCAGGTTTACATAGGTCAGGAATTTTTATAGATCACAGCAGGAATGGCTTATTTCTTCTCCACAACATCTGAGATATCAGTTGAAAAACTTGAAGGCTTGGACCTGAATTCATTTGAATCCTCATTCATTCACTCAAATATCTGGCAGTTGATGTTGGCTTTTACCTGGGTTTTTCCATGTGGTCTGGTCTGAACTTCCTCACAATCCAGTGGCTAGATTCCAAGCATTCAGAGAGAGAGAAACAGAGGCAGGCAGAAGTTGTGTTACCTTCTGACCTAGAAAATCATGTAGCATCACATTCACTGCATGCTACTGACTGAGGTAAATAATCCATTCAGGTTCAAGAGGAAAAAACTCTCAATGGAAAAGTATCAATATCTTGTAAGAAGAGCATGTAAAATGGGATATATACTGGCATGACTTTTGAAAATACAGTGCCACAGTTGGTGTTTTCACATGGGGGAGCAGGTTGTTGCAGGGTGTTGGAGCACAAGTTAGATGAAGAGGATGTCCAATGGGAGGGCAGCCAGCTTGTAATGCTTGTACCAGAACAGACAGAAGAAGGCTACTGTGTGGGGAGTAGGCAGCCTCACACAGGATGACAGTCCAAGCAGGGTGAAGAAGGTGCCAGTATATAAGTCAGGACTACACTGGGTGTCTGGCTCTGAGCAGGGTGAAAAGAACATCCAATGGGTGAAAGGATGCAGCAGGCAATGACCAGTACAGGGTGTTGAAACATTTGTGAAGTGAGAAGCTATCTCCAGAGGTTAGGAGGCAGTGGCATTAGTAGGAAACTGGTTACATTCAGGGGGATTTATCAAATAAGTAAAAATACTAAGGATAATGGAACCCAGGTTTCTTATTATCAAAGAAAAAAGTTGCAAATATGGAAAAGGAAAAAAACTAGAATGAACTTTGAATAATTTTGAACAACTGAAAAGCAATGGGCACACTTAGCACCCAAATATTTCTTTCTAAATATGGCACTCAATAAGCCTGGAGTATCTTGTGCCAGAAAGTAAGTGCTCAAAAAAGGATGAGAACATGTCAAAATGGCACAGAAGCCAGTATGAAGGGCATTCCACTGGCTAAAGGCTGGGACATTATGAACTTCAAGATAAATAATGATAATGATATATTACAACTCACAGAATGAAATAGGATTCTATGAGTACACTAATGTAAATAAATTCAAAAATTGAAAGTTTGATGAGGAATAGGATAGTAGCTACATAATTTCAAAGTTACTTCTCAAAAAAATACTTTTTTTTCTTTTAAAGCTTTTATTTATTTAAGAGAGAGACAGGGAGAGCACGAGCAGGGAAGGGGCAATGGGAGAGGAAGAAGCAGACTCCCCACTAAGCAGGGAACCCAACTGGGATCATGGTCTGAGCCAAAGGCAGACGCTCAACTGACTGAGCTACCCAGGTGCCCCTCCAGAAAATACTATTAAACAACAGAAAAAAAATTAAGGTGTAAGACACCACACCTTAATTAAGTGATCAAAGTGAACATCATCAATGACGGGACAAATGAAACCATGTGTCACCAAATAGAATGCAATGAGAAAAACAAGCTCGTATCTGTGATATTACAAATTGAAGAACTATTCCAGATGGAGACTAAAGAGATACAACAATGTTAAGTGAACTTTTGGCTATAAAGGATATTATTGGGACAAATAGTGAAATTTTAATGGGGGTCTAGAGATTAGATGGTAGCCACATTTCATTCACTGTTAGTTTCCAGAATTTGATGCTTACACTCTGGTCATGTAGTGTCCTTGTTTGAAGGAAATACACAAAAATATTTGGTATGAGAGATTATCATGTCAGTAACTTACTCTCAAATTATTCATGAAAATTAGCTTTTTGTACTGTACTTGTAACTTTCCTGTAAATTTGAGGTTGTTTCAAGTTTTTAAGAAAATACCCTATGTAGCATTTTGCAACTCAGATCTTAAAACTTGGATTTCATTAATTAAGACACAACCTTAAAAACAAAATAATGGATTTCATACATGTGATACCTGCAATGAAGTGTTTGTGTAATACAAGGAAAATATCAACATTCTCTATATACTAACTAGAAACCTTAAAAAACATAATCATAGCAATAAAGGTTGACAATAAATGTATTCTTCAAAAAATTATAATAGTTTTCATATGACCCAGTGATTCTACTCCTAGGTATATACCTAAGAATACTGAAAACATGTCTACAGAAAAATCTGCACACAAATATTCATAGTGGCATTATTCATAATAGCCAAAAAAAAAAAAAAAGGAAAAAAAGCCAACCTAAATGTCCATCAAGTGATGAATAAATGAACAAAATTTTGGTATTTTTGGAATTATATTCATCAATAAAAAAGAAGTATTGACACATGCTAAAACATGGCTAAATCTTGAAAATATGTGAGGTGAAATAAGCCAGACACAAAAGGTCATATACTGTATGGTTCATTTGAATGAAATGTCAGAATAGGCAAATCCACACAGGCAGAAAGCAGATTGGTGATTCTCAGGGGGCTGAGGGACTGGAGGATTGAGGAGTGACAGCTAATGTGTATGGGACCTCTTTGAGGGGTGATAAAAATGTCCCCAAATTAGTCAATAGTGAGGGTTGCACAACCTCGTGAATATACTAAAAACCACTTCATTGTTCACTTTAAAGGAGTGAATTCTATGTTATGTGCATATCACAGTAAAAAAAAATCCAGTGAAAGTTTAATCTAGTATTAAATAGATGAGAAATCTATTAACAAATAAATAATCAGAAGTTTAAAAAACATGACAAAGAATATAAATTTTTGCCAGAGGCCAACATTATCCTAGAACTCATTTCACTTGAAAAACAGGTACTGTACACCTATATAAGAGCAATAAATCGATTAAAAATGGTGATCACAATGACTAGGGGGTGCTCCAGCTACTTAACATGAAGCGATCATGAAATATTAAACATCCTGCTAGGCATGAGATATTTCTATACAACAAATACACCCAAAGTGCCAAAATTGCCCATGCTCAGAAATCCTGAACTAGTTAGTAAATGGTGCTAAAAAAATTCATAATCCATATGGAAAAATTATGTTCCTGCTGTGTATCATATACAAAAAACAATTCCAGGTGGATTATAGACTTAAATATAGAAATTGTGAAAGTTATAAAGCCACATACTAGGAAAAGATATTTGTAATACACTTAATAAAGGATGAGTGTATGATTGCTACTACTAACCAAAGCAGTAACAGTGGCTTAAACAAAGTTTATTTTTCTTATAAAAAAATTTGTCTAGTGGTAGGCATTAAAAAGCTGATATAGTGGCTCCATGGAAATCAAGGACTGTTTTCTCTATTGTTTCCATTCTCAGTGACACTTCATGGTCCAAGATGGCTGCTGTACCTTTAGCCCCAGTTCCATGTTCCAGGCAGGAATTTGGAGAAAGGGGGTGAAATGGAAAAAAAGTCATTCCAGAAAGCTTCATCTCCTGACTTTTGTGTACAATTCATTAGCTGCCACTACCTGTAACAGAGGCTGAGAAATAAATTTTCAACTGGGCATAATACCTGAAGTTCTATAGGGGGAATGGATATAATGTAGGTATCTGAAAGTCTATGTTATAAACATCTAGAACAGGGGTCAGCAAACTAAGACCAGTGCCCCAAATCTGCCCCACAGCCTGTTTTGTAAATAAAGTTTCATTGGAACAGTCACACCCATTTATTTACCCATTATCTACAGCTGCCTACTCACTACAGTGAGAGTTGAGGGTCCTGACGGGGCCTGCAAAGTCTAAAATATTTCTACTTTATCAAAAAAGTACACCGACCCCTAATCTAAAGATAAAGGTCTCCTATTAATATGAAAACAATAAAAAATAAAAATAAATGGATATGAAATATAAACAGGCAAGTCACAGACTACAAATATGTACAACATCATGTATGAACTTTCCAAACATAATGCTGAGCATAAGAAGCCAGATACAAAGAATACATATTGTATTATTTCATTTATATGAAGGGCAAAAATTTAAAAAGCTAGTGAAAAGGGTTAGAATAACAGTTATCTTTGGGGTTGAGAGAGGGCATCCAGGAGCCTTGTAGGATGAGGAATGCCTATATCTTATCTGGGTGCCATCTCTCTCTCTCATACTCTTTCTCTCTCTCTCTTTCTCTCTCTCTCTCTCTCTCTCTCTCACACACACACACACACGCACGATATGTAAGTTGTGCAATTTTTTTTTTCTAACCAACCCAATAGCACAGATACCTTCTTTTAAAACCTAAAAGTCTGGCAAAGATTAAAAAGTTTGGTAAGTCACTGCTCTGGTCAAAAGTAGAAGAGGGGCACCTGGGTGGCTCAGTCGTTAAGCGCCTGCCTTCAGCTCAGGTCATGATCCCAGAGTCCTGGGATAGGGTCCTGGGATTGAGCCCCGCATCGGGCTCCCTGCTCAGCGGGAAGCCTGCTTCTCCCTCTCCCACTCCCCCTGCTTGTGTTCCCTCTCTCACTGTGTCTCTCTCTGTCAAATAATAAAATCTTAAAAAAAAAAAAAAAGTAGAAGAAAACAGGCCCTTCCATATATGTTCCTGGTGAGACTGCAGATTGGAATAACTTCTAGAGACCAAAATTACAAAAGCATATATCTTTTGACCAGCAACTCCAGCTCTAAAAGTTTATCCTCAGATATATTCACATTTATGTAAAATAGTATATGTACAGTGTTACAGAGGCAGCATTTTTTGGTAATAGCAATGATTATGCAGCCATTAAAGAATAAGTAAATTTTTACAATAATAGATATTCTTCAAAATATACTGTTAAGTGGAAAAACCGGAACTAAATAGTGTATATGATAAATTTTATGTAAAAATAAAAATAATTAAAATGTACAAAGTTAGCAAAGGAATCAATTAAATTTGTTAATGAAGAATTCTTACCTGGTTCCTTATTTTAATTCAAGTAACTTTAGTGTTTCGACATTTAAACTGATATTTCCTATTCAACTGGCAAATAGTTATCAAGTCTCAAGGATTTCCTCCTTTCTTATTGAGAATTTTTATAGTGAATCATTTTTGAAATGTATCAAATACTTTTTTAGCATCTATTGGTTTTATTTTTTTTTTCATTTAATTCATCAATGTTAAATATACTACATTTGCAGGTATTGACCCATCTTTGTATTCCTAGAATAAATCTTATTCAATTATTTTTAAAAAATCAACCCAAAGCATATAAAACTAAAATAGAACAGAACTGGGTTATCTACTTTTGTGACCGTTGGCTATAAAATTTTAAATAACAACTATAATTAGGATAGAAGAGGAAGGTCTATCTTCACATAATTATATTAACTTTAAATTTTAGAATATTTTTAAATTTTAGAATATTTTAAAAGAAATAAATCTAGACTATAAAGTCCAGAAAGATTATAAAAAATAAACGTATTTAGCAGAATAGTATGCCATTAATTAAACTGAAAGGAAGAAAAACACCAAGACAGTTCCAAAGTAAATAAAATATATAAATACTAATTTCAATTTTAGTATCAGTTGCAACTTACAATAAGAGATTTTACTCAAATAATAAAATTATAAACTAAAGGAAGATCTAAATAAAAGGACTGTATTTCTAGCTAGAATACTATGTTAAGATGAGAAATGATTGAAATGTGTATATAAAGTATTTAGCACAGTGCCTGGCATCTACTAAAAATTCAATAAATTTTGGGGCGCCTGGGTGGCTCAGTGGGCTAAAGCCTCTGCCTTCGGCTCAGGTCATGATCCCAGAGTCCTGGGATGGAGCCCCACATCGAGCTCTCTGCTCAGCAGGGAGCCTGCTTCCTCCTCTCTCTCTGCCTGCCTCTCTGCCTACTTGTGATCTCTGTCAAATAAATAAATAAAATCTTTAAAAAAAAATTCAATAAATTTTAATTCTCTCTATACCTTCCCTAATCTAATATAAAGTTACAATGCTAGACCAATTAAATCCCTGAAGAACATTTTATAAAATTTGAAGCAAATGAAAATAAAATTCAGCTTAAGATGTAAAGAGGACACAAATACTAAATAATATATGTTGTTTAATGAACACTGGTAGATTTGCCCTAAATATTTTAAAAATACAATGAAAACAACATGATTTTAAATCAAATATAGAAAAATTGTTCAAACAAAATAGGTTCGACAGCATAAAAACTTAGTTCATACCTTACACCATATATTATTTAAAGTCTGCTGAGTTAAAGAGATAAACACAAAATTCTATAAAATGCTATTAAGAATACTGTAATAGTCCATCTTTCTTTTTTTAAAATTTATTTATTTATTTGACAGAGATCACAAGTAGGCAGAGAGGCAGGCAGAGAGAGAGAGGGAAGCAGGCTCCCCGCTGAGCAGAGAGCCCAATGTGGGGCTCAATCCCAGGACCCTGAGATCATGACTTCAGCTGAAGGCAGAGGCTTAACCCACCGAGTCACCCAGGTGCCCCAATAGTCCATCTTTCTAAAGATAAAATCCTGACTAGTATAGAAATGAAGGTAGTAGAAAGAAGCAGTAGTAGAAATGAAGGTCAAAAGTGAAATGGTAATATTGGATCATTTTAAAAAATCTGTTACACAGTAAATAACAAAAGGAAAGCAAAGGGAAACATTTTTATGACATTCATAACTTATAAAGAAGTACTAATTGCAATACAAAGACACTAATGGAAATATATAGTTAGTACACTAAAAATCTCACAATAAGCCATCAAATTAATTAATTCCCTTAGGATACAATTTATATTCTTTACTATGGCCTTGTATCATCTAGTCCTCCCTGCCTCTCTGATTTCATTTATGGTTTCTCTGCCTGATACCATCCTCCAACCACATTGACCACTTTTCAGTTCCATGAACACACCAAATACTTTCCCTTGGAAACATGAAGCTCTTTTTGTCCTTAGGGCTTTTGCACATGCTGCTCCTTAACTGTCAGGAAAGCTCTTTCCTCACTCTTCACACAGTTAACTCTTTAATCTGTATGTCTCAGATCTACCCTATCTGATAAGTAAATCCCTATCTAAAGTAAATCCCCCCCCATAATGTCCTGTTTCAGTACCCTGTCATCTTCCTTAGAGCACTTCTCATCTTTTGTATTTTACTTGCTCTTGTCACTCTCCCTCATTAGACTTCAATTGTGTGAGTCTCACTCCCTTATATTCCCCAGTACAATGTCCAAAAACAGATGTACTCTATAAATATCTATTGAATTAATGAAGAAAAACTGAAAATTCAACCACCAGATAACAAGGGAAAGCTCTGGGGCGCCTGTTGGCTCAGTGGGTTAAGCCTCTGCCTTTGGCTCAGGTTATGATCTCAAGGTCCTTGGATAGAGCCCCGCATCAGGCTCTCTGCTCAGTGGGGAGCCTGCTTCCCTCTCTCTCTCTCTCTGCCTGCCTCTCTGCCTACTTGTGATCTTGTGATCTCTGTCTGTCAAATAAAGAAATAAAATCTTAAAAAAAAAAAAGGGAAAGCTCTAATTATGATATTAGGAATATTATATAAGTATTTATATATAACTATTCAAATTTGACAGGTATGGAAGTAGTAAAAGAAATATTTATATGGAATAATGGTGAATGGTAAAGCAGACCACAAAATAGGATGCACATATACAACAAAGTAAGGAAAGTGTATATACAACCAAATTCAAATTACTGGAAAATAATTCATGGTGATAATAATAGATTATAACAATTAGCAGACTTTTGTAAAGAAAAACAAGTTGCTGACAACAATTCTGGTATAAAGTCAGTATTGTGGAAAAGTGCTTACAAAATAATATTAAGTGAAAAAAACAGAGCATAACATTGTATGTACACCATGATTACAGCTAGGTCAAATTAATATATACTGAAAGAAGACACAGAAATAAAAATATGTATTGCATCAAGGCAATAAATGTGCATAAAATGTGACCTTAAAATCTTCTTTTAAGGTTTTAAGCTTTTAAAAATAATATATATATATATATTTTTTTTTTTTGACAGACAGAGATCACAAGTAGGCAGAGAGGCACGCAGAGAGAGAGAGAGGAGAAAGCAGGCTCCCTGCTGAGCAGAGAGCCCGATATGGGGCTCGATCCCAGGACCCTGGGATCATGACCTGAGCTGAAGGCAGAGGCTTTAACCCACTGAGCCACCCAGGTGCCCCTAAAAATAATATTTTATAATGGGAGATAGCCATAAGTAAGTAAGTAAATAAATAGTCAATCTCATCTCAACACATAATAAATAATGACTAAATAACATTTTGGGTACATATCTTTAGTCCTTTTTTCTAAAATTCATATAAGCAAAAAATATATGTAAACTCAAAATAGAACCACACTATCCATACTATTTTTAATTCTGCTTTTTTTCATTTGATCATATATCATATTCATTTTCCCAGTCTATAGTGGCTTAATAATCAAGTTCCAAAAACAATTTAAACAACAAGTAACATTAGTGGTGGAGAGACACATCAGTGGACTACACAAAGCAAAAGCAGACCCATGGCCCAGATCCATACTAACCTGCAACTGTTAAGTCAAACATTAAGCATTTCTAAGGATCAACCACAGTATCCATAAAACAAAGCAAATACTGAAAGAGGGTAAAAACTGATAAGAAGAACCAATGTAAAGAACCAATCTTCATAGAGTGAAGGAATGAAATACACTTGACAAAAGTGACAGATCCAACTCCCAGAATAGTCTCCCAAGCATTCCATCAGACCGGTAACATACAACTCACACCATAGCCCCAGGAGAAGTCCGAGCTGCCTTCTGTAGAGATCCCTGTGCCTGTATAGCTTGGAAAAGCAGATCTTGAATTCCCAGTGTCAGCTGATGTAAAAGGCGATTCTTGTGTGATGTCAGACTCACTAAGTGCACAATTTGGAAGGAAGAGAGAAAACAGAAAAATTGTTATACTTCCTCAAGTTTCTGTAGCAGTAACTACCCAGCAATTTACTAGGTGACAACCATGCATACAAATATATCCACAGAAACAAAAATAAATGAAGAACTTAACATTTAAGCATCATGGAAAAGTCCTAATTCCCGTAGAATTGATGACAGTGATTCTAAATAATTCTAGTCATAGTTTACAACAAATACTTTAGCATTCCACTTACAACATCTACCCTTGAAAACGAAAGACATTTCAGAAATATGAACAGTAATGTCTGAACTTGTATGGCACTTTCATAGATGTAATTCCATTTTATCCTCACAACAACCTGGTGATGTAGAACTCAGTTTACCCCCATTTAAAAAAATTTTTAAGTTATATTTAAGTAATCTCTACACCCAATATGGGGTTCAAACTCATGACCCCAAAATCAAGAGTTGCATGCTCTTCCAACTGTACTAGCCAAACACTCCAATTAACCCCATTTTAAAGACAATCTGAGATTGAGTTCGATATTGAAATTAGGTTTTATTACTATAACTTTTCTGTGATACCACACTGCTTCTCAGAACCCTCTCTGAAATTATAGTATGCTGTTTGTTTGTTTTTAAAAGATTTTATTTACTTGGCAGAGATATCACAAGTAGGCAGAGAGATAGGCAGAGAGAGAGGAGGGGAAAGTGGGCTCCCTGCCAAGCGCAGAGCCCAATGTGTGGCTCGATCCCAGGACCCTGAGATCATGACCTGAGCTGAAGGCAGAGGCTTAACCCACTAAGCCACCCAGGTGCCCCACAGTATGCTGTTTCTTAAAATGGTAACTGCAGCTAATGCTTGTTCATTTACCATATGCCAATCATTGTGCCAAGTTTTACATACGTCATCTTATTTATATTCACAACACCCTTTAAGAAATACAACTATCGTAAGTAACTTGCCTGTTGTTACCCAGCTAATAAGTGGCAGAACCAGGATTAAAAATGCTATGTTGGGGCTCCTGGGTGGCTCAGTTGTTAAGTGTCTGCCTTCGGCTCAGCTCATGGTCCCAGGGTCCTGGGATCCAGCTGCATAGAGCTTCCAGCTCAATAGGGAGCCTGCTTCTCCCTCTCCCACTCCCCCTGCTTGTGTTCCCTCTCTCATCGTGTCTCTCTCTGTCAAATAAATAAATAAAATCTTTAAAAAAAAATCAGATGTTAGAGCTTCTAGGTGGCTCAATTGTTAAGTATCTGCCTTTGGGTCAGGTCATGATTCCAGGGTCCTGGGATCGAGTCAGGCATCAGGCTCCCTCTCCCCTCCCCCTGCTTGTGTTCCCCCTCTAGCTGCCTCTCTCTCTCTGTCAAATAAATAAATAAAATCTTTTAAAAAATAATAAAATCAAATGTTAGACTCCTTCTGAGTCTTGGCTTTTAACTATGTCACAATACTACTTTTCAAGGGTTGTAAGTATGATGTTTCCATTAGCTGTTCCAGAATGAAAACTGAATGGTACTGAAAATGTGATAAAAGTTCTTGTTTTGTTTCATTAATACAAGACTAGATATCAAGCCTAAGCCAAAAAACACTTTTGCCATTATCAAGTGTAATAAGCAAATGAGTACACTTTGTGTTATTACCTTTGGGAACTTGTGTCTTTTTCATGGCTTTCATTGGTAGAAGAAATTTCATCTAGCTGCTCTGGAAGAGGATGATGACTAATAGCATGTTTTGTTATTCCTTTCCTGTGAAAGATTTTTTAAAAAGTTATATTTCCTGTAAAGAAAAAATATATACTTTTCAATAACTTGACTACAGGTTAGTCACCTACTTCCAGCTGCTCTGTGACTGCACTGTACTATATGGTAGCCCCTAGCAACTAGCAGTTAAAATGTGGTTAGTCAGTGTGGTGAGCACCAGATGTTGTATGGAAGTGTTGAGTCACTATACTGTATACCTGAAACTAATATTACACTGTATTTTAACTAACTGGAATTTATATAAAAACTTTAAAAATGTAGTTAGTCAGACATGAGATGTGTTTTAAGTATAGAACACGGGATTCTGATGTCTCAGTACAACAAGAATGTATAATAGAGCATCAATACTTTTATCTTGATTACATGTTAAAATGATAGTATTTGGGATATTCTGGGTTAAAAAATACACTCTTAAAGTTAGTTTCACTACAAATTTAAATTACAGTAAGTTATAACCATAAACCTTTTAGAACAGTTAACACAAAATACGGTTATAACACCCAAGGCGAGCGATGATTTGGAGAAACTAGATGCCTCATACACTGCTTATGGAAATGTAAAAAGGTACAGCAACTCTGGAATAGTCTCATAGTTTCTTTTTTTTTTTTTTTAAGGTTTTTTAAGAAATTTATTTATGAGAGAAAAAGAGAAAGAGAGCATGGGGAGGAACACAGGGAGAGGGACAAGCAGGCTCTGCACTGAGCACAGAGCCCACCGTCAAGTTGGATGTGGGGCTTGATCCCAGGACCCTTGAGATCATGACCTGAGCTGAAACTTAACTGAGTAACCGAAGAGCCCCAGTCTCACAGTTTCTAATAAAATGTGTCCCAATGTCAGTTTCCTGGCTTTGACACTACACTAGTTACATACGTTGTCGTCATTGGGAGAAGGTGGGTGGAAGGTTCATGGAATTCTCTGTATGATTTCTGTAATAGTCCATAATTATTTCAAAATAAAAAGTAAAAAAATTAATTTCATCTGTTTCTACTGTTTTTTAACGTGACTACCTGAAATTTAAAAATTCCATATGTGGCTGTATTATATTTCTATTGGACAGAGCTGCTCTAGAGAGTTCAACTTGTACATTAGATTAAACTAAGGGATCAATTATTATATGTTCCAGTCTCAATCATCTATAGTAGACTTTCCTCCCCCACAAAATTCTGCAATAAAATAAGTTTAGGGAACATGATAAGCTAAACAAAGTACATGGGTCTCTTTAGAGTCTTCAGTTTGCAAATCTATATTATAAATCTCTAATACTCTTACCTCATAGGCAAGGAAAGTGAAGCACAGAGAGATTAAGTAACCTAATTAAGGTCATATCTATGAAACGGAGACAGGATTCAATTTCAAGTACTCTGGCTCTGAGGCTTCTCAAAACAAATGAATAATTTGAGATTTTAGTGAATGGAACCATTTTTGTATACAAAGATAAAGCTAAGGGCACAGTCAGCAGAGCTTGTACTTGAAATTATTTCTCAAATGGTGGGGATGGATTTGTGCAGAGCTATTTGTACTTCTCTCATTCAGTGATCCTACAACGAAAAACTTGTCTTTGAGACAGTGGTAGTAAACAGAAATGTGGAATCCAGCTACAAAAAAGAAACATAAGTCTGTCAAAGAAATCTGACCATGAAATGATGATTAGATAATACCAAAGAAATACTAAATTTGATCATAGCATTGTTTTCATGTAAGAAAATACTGAGGCACCCAGGTAGCTCAGTTGGTTGGGCATTTGTCTGTTTGCCTTTGGCTCATATTGTGATCCTGGGGTTCTGGAATCTAGCCCTGCATTAAGCCCCACATCAGGCTCCCTGCCCGGCAGAAAGTCTGCTTCTTCCTCTCCTGCTGCCCCTCCCCCTGCTCGTGTTCTTTCTCTCACTCAAATAAATAAAATCTTAAAAAAAGGAAAGAAAATACCTATAATTTTTAGAGATGCACACTAAGGTATACAAGGGTTAAATGGTAAGTGTCTGGGGTTTTGCTTTCTTATTTACAGACGATGGACAGAGAGGCTGAAAAAAGATAAGAGAGATGAAGCAAATATATCAAATTTTTGCTAATTGTTGAATGTAGGTGATAGGTGGTTCATTATATTATTCACTTTACACATATGTTTGAAATTTATCACTTTTTAAGTGTTAAGCTGTATGTTGAAGATTGCTTTTTTTTTTTAACTCTTTTCAATATTTGTAATTTGGAACTATTTAGGAAGAAAACTAAAGTTCCTTCTTCAAAGCAAAATATTCTTACACCTAAAGTAAAAATTGTTTTATTTTACTGTCATTTAGATACATATAATCCCCCTGTGTCTTCATTATTCATATCATCCTGACTCCTCTAAAATAGAGAATCATCTTTGAAGAGAGTTGCCTTTAGAGAATAGAGAGTATCAATCAAATCAACAATAGAGAACAAGTAATGTAATGTAACTATATTGGAGTAATTTTTTCCACAAATGATTTTTTTTACTCTCAGAATGGTCAGAATAATTATAAAAGCAGATTTTTAGCTAACTCCTGTTCCCTTTACCGGAAAATTACTTTCTTTTTTCTACTTCCTAAAAAGCTTATTATCTGAATTGCTACTGTGTAGATATCCTATTACTTAGTAGATAATGAGCTTCTGAAAGGCAAGGAAGGATCACAGATTTTCTTTGTATGGCTACTGTACCAAGTAAAGGTGGGAAAGGACAGGAAATTACCAATTACTGAGGATCTACTATGTGTCAAGCCCCGTGCCATCACTTTAGATAGGCTTTTAGAGAAAGTCTTAGTCCTATATTACAGAAATGGATGCTCAAATATTTATTAATCTGCTGAAAAGTCACATGACTAGAAAAGAGCCTAGTCAGAAACCCAGACTGACTGAAGATCCCATGCTTGCTATTACCATGTATAGTTAGTATTTACTTTTTAAATATATGGTTGCTAAAATTACATAGCTCCAAGGCAAAAAAAAAAAAAAAAAGTTGGAATTTGAGGATTAAAAAGCCCAAGCTCAAAACCTATTGGTTATATAATCTTAGGATGTGTAACCTTTCTAATATTTCACGTTCTGAAAAACTGAAAGATAATCATACCCATCGTACAGAGTTGTTGCAAGGATCAAGATGTGAAAGTCTTTTTGAAAGTATAAGGCATCAACAAATATACAACTTTATCATTACTTGCTAATTACAACACTTCACCAGGGGTGGGAGGTGGGTTTTTAAGCTTAAATATTTGCTCTCTAGAGCAAAATTATCCTTAAGGATTCTGAAGTTTAACCTCAGAGGTGGGGAAGCAGTATACATAACGATTATGACCAAAGCTTCAGGGTCAGACTGACACCAGGTTTGTGTGCTCCACCACTTTCTGCCTGTATAATCTTTGGCATGCAACAATCTTAAATCTGGGATCTTTATTTGTAGAATGTGCAAAATAATAATCCCTATTCTGTATCCTTGCTGATAGGATTAAGTGAGCTAATGCATATAATCAGCTTTGCATTGTGCCTGGCACTAGATAAACTTAACTTTTCTCTAGCACTCAGCTATTATTAACTTCTCGATTTGTCAATGCCCGTCCGTTGACAGGCATGAAGCACTGAGGAAACTACAAATGCCGCAGGGGGGCCAGTCCCTGAGTTCAGGAAGTGTAGCCCCAAAGAGCCAAGTCCTAGGACAGCACAAGTGACATGCCCTTAGCTGGAGATGGAGGCAGACCGGGCAGCATCTGACAAGTCTGGGAGGCGAGAATTCCAATGAAAATTTTCCTTTCCCCGCCCTGGAAACGGAAAAGTGAGAAGCACTAGTTGGGAAGGGCCCCAACCAGAGCGCCCGAGACCCGCCTCAGCCTCCCCCGGCCCGGGCTAGTTTAGCAGAGCAGTCCACTCACAGCTCCAAGCTTTGAGGAACAGCCTTCCGAGTGTATCTGGAGATCATCCTCCTCTTCCTCCTCTGCCGCGGAGGGGGCGGGCACGCCAGGGTGGGGGCCTCCGGACCTGGCCCTCCGGCCGGCTCCGACCCGGCCCCCTCCCTCCACCTTCCGGCCCCGTCACGCCCCGTCGCCTAGACTCCGGACCGCCGCCACTCCCTGGGTCCCCACCCCTCCAGTCCTCGGCCCTCCCTGCTTCCTCGCAGGGGCGGAAGTGACGAATGCACCGGGGCACCCGCGTAATGCTCCCGTGGACGCACAGCAGTGACGCCACCTGGGTTCCGGGCCCGAGGGAGTCTTTCAGCGCTTCCGCTGGCCTCAGGTAGCCGTGAGCCGTTTGGACTGACCTTGGGCAAGGCTTTGGCAGGTAGCTACTGGCAGCTCCCGACCGGCTCACGCGGTGGGAGGGGTGGTCCAGGAAAGTTCCGCAGCGGAGACGCGTGGGGGAGACGCGAGAATCGTAAGCGGAATTGGCTTCTTTGTCGAATGGAGGGAGGGAGTTTAGTCGGAGTAAAGAGCACTAGACTCCCGCTCAGTCCTCGACTGCGTGGTCGCTTCTGTATGTGCCAGTTTTCTCACTTGTACAGCAAGGAGTTAGCCTGCGTGACCTAAAAGTCCCTTCGAGTTCTGACACAGTTTCTTCATAAAATGTGCTTGGCATTATGGGTTGGGTGGATGGAATTATCTGTCCCTCTGGGTTGAGAAGCCAAGTGATGATTTGGACAGACTGGTTAGAAGCTGCAGGTTCCTTTCGACCTCGTTTTATTAGCCCATGAGAAAACCGAGTAAGAATCGAACTCGAATTGTGCCTTAGAATGGGCCATCCAGTACAGTTCCTCCCTTTCCCAAGCCTCATCTGGCCGCAATAGTAAGCGAGTACTTTTGTTTTAAGGGAAAAACCCTTAGAACCTAGAGATACCTACCGCCTCTTAACATACCGGAGTTATGTACCACCACCATCACCACCACCACCACCCCCGAAAAAGGGGCAGTTTTAGGACAGCTGCACGATAAAGAACCATGCACAAATTATTTTGGTGTGAGATGATAGGACATGAATATTTTGTGGTTTTGGGTTCCTCTATGCCCTTCAACATTCATAAAAAGAGATTTAAATTCTTCAGAGTGAGGGAGATTGCCCTAAAGAGCTTTTAAATAAAAACAATTTAAACTGGGTGAGAAATTTAGAAGTGAAAGAGTAACACTCTCATTTTACAGTTGAGGAAAAAGCCCCAGAAAGAGAAATTGAGGTGCTCAAAGTGACAAAACTGATTAGTGGCAGAACTGGGACTTTTGATAGTATTTAAACATAAGATGTTACTGTTGTGCTTCTCAAAGTGTGATTCACATGCAAATGTTAGTATGACGGTAAACTTTTTTTTTAATGTATTTTTTTCAAAACGTTTTTTATTTTATTCTTGCATGCTATTAGTTAATTTGGGAATGTGATACTCGATTTCCATTTACTGTATTATGTCCTTTAATATAATTTCAAGTATGAAAACATAATCTTAAGTATAAAACATCATTACAAGAATATTAAATAGGTGTTACTATTCATACTTGATCAAAAAATTAAATGATAGCATCCGGATAACTGAATTTTGGAAAACAATGGAATCATGTCTAATAGTTCAGAGAATTGAATTTTACTTCTACATTATTCTATGTGATTTATATTATTGAAACTTTAAATGTAGTTTTCAAAGAAGAATGGAGGAAAATATGAAGCTTGCTACAGTGGAAGACACGGTGGAGTATCACCTATTCCTGATACCAGATGAACCAAGGGACCCAGAAAAACACAAAGAGATTCTTCAGAAGTATATTGAGAGGATAATGACTCATTTTGCACCTTTGCTGGTCCCCTATATCTGGCAGAATCAGCCTTTCAATCTCAAATATAAACCTGGGAAAGGTAAGGCTCTTTTACTTATTTTGATGTGATACGTGTGACTTCTGAGTCCAGTGATCTATAATAGTCCATAGTTCTCTCAGTGTTGTAAGGAGATTTATAACCTGAACTTTTTTGATTAGTGATGCTTGCCTATATTTAGTTAGAACCGTAAACTTACAAAAAAAATTTTTTTTAAATTAGTTTGATGAAAGCTTTCTAATAGTAATTACCTTGAGAACTAATATATACTCAACATTATTAGACTATGGCTGTTTTTTGGAACTTTACTCTTCTGTGCTATAGTATATCTAGGTACCTATACTAAACAGGTTCAGGCATCTGGCTTCCTTAACCATAGCTTCCATTAGTGGTTACTCTATATTCCTTGTTCTTGATCATGTGTTCAGTAGGCTGCCTTGTTTGACATAGTTGTGAAACTATGTGGCTCTGCCTGGCTTATAAAGAGAAATAATTGGGCTTATGGCCATTATTTGCCTCTCAGAATCATTTTGAAGTTGCTTCACTCCTTCTCTGTGTTGTTCTTGCTTGATATGTGACCTCTGGCCAAATATGGCACTTTTTCTTATCATTTCATATAGCTTTAGTGAAATGAGGCACGAATAGGTGACCATGGCTCTTATTCATGCAGGGTCTTCTTTCAGATCAGGAGTCTGGCATCTTGATACTGTCAGTCTAGGTCTCAGTGTAGTGTTTATCTGTTATCTTTTGGCTGGCAGTTGCCAAATGTGTTCCCTGTTGTTAATTTTATTGAACCCTTATTCACTGAAAGACATGTGATATTTATTGGCAAGAACATCATCACATTAGCACAGCATGCTAAAACCAACTCCTTATCTTTTTCCTAGAAAATAATTTTTGCCCAATGTTCTCTTGTCTTGCTTAATGATGATGTTATCTACCTAGTTATTCAGTTTGTTAATAATTCAAAATTACACTCAACTGCTCACTTGACCATGTTCTATCAAGCACTAAATCCTAGTATGGTTACTCCTAAAGTAAGACCCCTTCTGTACATTTGTTTGGCTACAATCTAGACCCTATTTACCTCTTCATCTGAAAGACCACAGCAGCCACCTGAATAAACTCTGGTTCCTGTATCTCCAGTTCTTCTCTCACACTGATGCCAGTGATCTTTGTAAAACACAAATTTGATCACATCAGTCTTTTGCCCAACATCCTTCACTAGTTACCTATTGCTGCTGGATAAAGTTCAAATTGAAGTTTAATATATAAGGTAGATAAAAGTAGACACTAATTGGAGCTTCTCTTAGTTGAAGAAATTTGAGAGATCTGGGGTGCAGAGAAGAGTTGGTTGGGCTGTTCTACTTTTTTTGCTATGGGAACTTTTGGGACACTTCACAGTGTGCTTGTTTGACCTTTAGTCTGTTAATGTGGTTGGTTACATTGATTGATTTTCATATGCATTACATTGCATTCCAAGAATAAATTCTACTTGATCATGGTGTATAACCTTTCAGTGTGTTGAATTCAGTTTGCTAGTATTTTGTTGAGGATTCCTGCATCAGTATACCAGGGATATTGGTCATAGTTTTCCTGTATTGTCTTTGTCTGGCTTTAGTATGAGGGTGATGCTGACCTAAAATGGGTTTGGGAGTGTTCCCTCCTCTTCAGTTGTTTTTAAGAGTTTGAAAAGGATTGATGTTAATTCTTCTTTAAATGCTGGTAAAATTCTCTAGTGAGCTTTTCTTTGTTGGGAAGTTTTTGATTACTGATTCAATGTCCTTTACTAGTAACAAGTCTGTTCAGATTCTCTATTTCTTTGTGATCCAGTCTTTTTTTTTTTTTTTTTAAAGATTTTATTTATTTATTTGACAGACAGAGATCACAAGTAGGCAGAGAGGCAGGCGGGCGAGGTGGGGGTAGGAAGCAGGCTCTCTGCTAAGCAGAGAGCCTGATTTATATGGAGGGGGGCCTGGGATCCTGAGACCTTCGTGGAAAGCAGAGGCTTTAACCCCCAGAGGCACCCAGGTGCCCCAGTGATCCTGATAGGTTGTGTGTTTCTAAGAATGTACTCATTTCCTCTAAGTTTTCCAGTTGGTTGGTCTACAGTTGTTCATAATGTTCTCTTATAGTCCTTTTTATTTCTGTAGTATAGGTTGTAATGTCGCCTCTTTCATTTCTGAGTTTAGTTACTTACATCTCCATTTTTTCTTACTGATCTAAGATTTTGTCAACTTTGTAATGTTTCAACAAACCAAATCACTTTGTTTTTTTTTTCTATTTTTCTATTCTCTGTTTCATTAATCTCTATTCTAATCTTTACTATTTCCTTCTTTCTGCTAGCTTTGGATTAGCTTTTCTTGTTTTCATTCCTTAAGGTTAAAGTTAGATTGTTGATCTGAGATCTTTTATAACTATAAACTTCTTAGCACTGCTTTCCGTATGTTACATGTTTGTTTTCATTTGTCTCAAGGTATTCTCTAATTTCCCTTGTAATTTCTTCTTTGATCCATTGGATTGTTTAAAAGTGTATTAAGTTCCGCATATTTTTGAGTGTTGCACTTGTTTAAAAAACTTCTACCCCATCTAAATCTAGCTTCCTGATATCCCCGGAACACTATTATGGTCTTCCATGCTTATATATGTTTGCACATGCTGTTCTCACTTTCTGGAAAACCTACCCCTGTCATTCCTCCAAATGAGCATAGCTCAGATATCACATTATTTATGCTCACATCCCCCTCAGTGCATACATCTCTTCATCTTGTTTTGAGATGGCATGGCGGTCCATCTCCTGTTGTCTAGACCCTTGGGTCCTCACAAGCAGGCTTTCTTATATCCTGTTCAGGATTACAACCCCAGCTCCTGTATGGTACCTACAGCATGGTCAGTCAGTCAATGTTTGTTTATTTGAATGATTACTTGTATTTTTATGTGCACTGACAAATTTATTTGGTTATATGATTGCTTTTCTCTTGTTTTTAGGAGATGTTCCTGCTCATATATTTGGCATGACAAAGTTTGGGGATAACATTGAGGATGAATGGTTTATTGTTTATATAGTAAAGCAGATTACAAAGGAATTTCCAGAGTTAGTAGCAAGGTATTAGTTATTTTAATAATCTAAAGGAATTCTCTTGTTGAGACTGACTACATTTTTATCCATTTAATAAATTTTTTTTCGGTAATCTGGTGGAGACTATACAAATTTGAGACATAGATTTTGAAAGTGACTTTGTGTTTTCTTCCTTTTCTTTTGTGGTTGTAACTTCCTTTAGTTGAGGAAAAAATTAAAGTACATTGGAGAGCTTAACTTCCAAAATTTTTA